CAGCGGCAGCAGCAGCCAGTTCGGCTGCCCAGTTGTACGTTTGCTAAGATTTTTGTCGCATTGCTTCGAGCAAATTTTGGGATTCAGTGAAACAGTTCTGGTCTTTGATTTATAGCGTTTTGGGGCCAGGAAAGAGTCATAAAACAGCGTCTTTTTGTTGTCCAACTGCGACGGGCTGTTCTTCACTCTCTGTATGCACTCGCTATGTTCGGTATTTTGAACAGTTTCCATAGAAAAATAAGCACTTTGTACTATCTGAATGCGAAAACTTTCGATTTTTGAGTCTTTTTTAAAGCTCATTGGTACTGGTGGGCATGATGCTGCGGTAAGTAGCACCACCCTGGTAGCTCTGATTACTGAAGTTTCGTTTTCGTTGCTGGAACACGCAGTTCCTTTCTTTCGATTGTAATTAGTATTAGCGCATGCCAGAGAATCGCTTCTGAACAACCCGTTTACAGTCTTGCAAGAGGGTGGTTGGTGTTGGCGCATATTGCCATCCGATTAATTTGCGCCTCTCAGAGGGAGTGGTTTGCTAAGAGGGCTTATTTTTGGTTTTTTTAAAGTTTATTGATATTTTCTTTATACTTAAATTTATTTTGATTCTTATTTTCAATCAAATTTCTTTTGCAAGCTGAATGTTCTGTGCTCCATTAGCACTGTCCAGTCAGGCTGATTGTAGCATTCAAACATATCCCAACGAAATCCTGGTGTCTTTCGGGCATAGTTTTTTTTGGAGCTCTTAGGGTTTTGAAAATTTTGCCTTGAAAATCGCTTCACATTCCCACTTCAAAATCAAGGGGTACGGGGTGGAAATTTATTTGGACATCCATTATCTTCAAAGAAATCTAAACTTTTGTCAACACTACCACAGACGGCGCACTTATTATGAGCAACTAATCCCTTAGTTCTATTCGTAACGCAGTAAGCTGTGTCGCATTAATGCTGGCGATGGGGGCAATTCCAGATGAATGAGAAAAAAAGACCGGGTCTTTTATAGGTTTGCCTGATAGAATGTTTTGGTACATTAAGAATTGTACATTTTTCTGGTGCTGTCTGTTTTTGATAACCAATGTTTCTTGGGGAAAAGGAAACTGTCACGTACCCACTGCATCGCTGTTGACATCGTCAAAGAGCTTTCGGTTTAAGAGCGACGGAGATTTGAGAATTTGTTTGTGTTGATAATGCTTGTTTCTCTAGGGTTTCATGATTTCTTCGTTTCTGCGCTTATTTTACTGATACTCTGCGCACGGATGCTTGTTGCAGTTATGTGCCCGACGCATTATCACCGTATCATCACGGCTGCGAACCAAGCACATCAATAAACTTTCATCAAGGCACCACCGGGATTTATGACACAGAGTAATTTTTTTTCATCGATTTCAGGCCGCTGTGGTACTTCATTTCGGATATTTAATAATTCATGAGTAAAAACTCTGTCGTTTGTGAAATACATTGTACAAAATACTTTCTCAAAAAGTCACAAATGGTTGCCTCCTCATCCTCCTCCTTACTCTCTTGTTTCACGTTGGGAAAGATAGCTGGGCCCTCTCAGTCATTATTTTGGATTTTTCAGTTATTTTTGCAAAAAGACAAATGCGTTGTTTCAAAAAAATTCACTATCCCAAGCAATTTTTTGTGGCATATAGTGATGAGAGGAGGTGCTGTTTTTGCAAAAGTTTTGTATTTTTCTGCAGCGAAGACGCAAATTGTATGGTTGCTGTTCGGGCATTCACAATCATAGCATGATATCTTTAATCTTTTAACTCTGTTTTACTCAGAATTCTTTATCACAAATTCCTCAGCGGATCCACACTTAACTTACTGATAGATCAGCACTGTGCGCATTGAACTCTTCAGCTCATTCATAACTAAATTCAGTATCTTTGCTTCGTGTGTTTCGCTCTGAAAATGAGCCATTATTTGCAGCTATGTGGATGAAGTTGCAGCGTCGCCTTATATCGCTACTGCTACTGCTGCCATCACTACAGAATGCCCGGAGGAGTCATTTCGGCTGATGCCCATTGCAGCTGTACGTCACCTTTTTTTGAAAATTAGTGCACAAAGTGCCCAAAGTCGCCCAAATGGTCGGTGCAGTAATTCCATGTTTATGATGTTACTGTTATGCTGAACATAGTAGCTATGCGAGGTCCTTCGATATTGAGCAGCATAGCCTCCACTTTCTTCCAGTTAGTATCCATCGCCTATTCGATGCATTTTTTTCTAAGGCCACCTAAGTGGTCGTTTATTTCGTTGCACTTGCCAGCCACTAATACACGTTGTCAACCGGTTGTTATCAGGGCAAGAGACGTTGTCTTTTGGACTTTGCTTTCTTAGACGTTCGCAGTAACATTTTGCGCATCGTTGTTCGACAGAGAGTCTGATTGTTTATATGATCACGAAAGCCATATAGACATAACGATATACAGTGTAAAAACAATAAATTCTAAGGATTTTATTCGAAATGCATTTTAACGCTAATAACACATCTTCATATTTTTGATATTTTATAGTAAACGTTGATCACAGTCGGATTACAGGCCCTGGTAGGACATAGTGCACTGAGAGGTGGGCACTGTTGTTGTGCGGTAGAGAGGGCGTTCGGTGTGATAACCAACCCTTCGACGATTTTATCATTCGTTTTGATAATATTTGCCAGGGAATCAAACTGCCATTAGCTCGTTAGCAGGCAACCCTAAAAAGTGGGACTCATCGGCAGTCTTAGCAACTGGCCGCTGATGACATTTGCTGCCTCTGTGGCTTCTTTTTGAGTGCTCTTGCCTATAGTAGGAAGCAAATACGAAGGGGTTTTCGACTTTTAACTGCTGTTAATCCCCACAGTGGAACCCTGCAATCCATCGTGATACATTGTTTTTTTTTTTTTTGAAATTTGTGTTCTTGATTATGCATGCGAAGCAGCAAGTGTGTTTGGGCAGTAGTTTTGTGTAGTATTGTTAGATTCAGTTGGTATTTTTGGTTTTGCAGGATGATAGCCAGTGCTGGAGTGACTGCGGCGCCAACGGCGAAGTGCAAGATCGACGGGCGCCTGGCCCCACTTCCTGTGTATTTCTAGAAATGGCTCTGAAACGACTGTACGCAAAAGAAGATTTCGATGTGCTTGAGTGCCTCGGTGAAGGATTTTTTGGTGATGTCTATAAGGTTTGTTGGATTAGCATGTTGCGCGGAATTTATTCATTGCTTAAGTAGATGAAGAAAAGTCAAAAATTGTCCGCACTTTTGCAATGGTTTAGGCATAACTTGCCAGCAGCGCTTTTATCGTTCGTCCTTGTGCTGTTGTGCCGTAGCTCTGCCTAGTTCCCACAAAAGTCTGTGCGAGTTACTTGCCAAGACAAATTACCAAAATGCGCGAACCTCTTTGAACGTTTACTCGAAACTCAGCAGGTTTGAGCTTTTCTGAAGATAACAGTTATAGGAGGCGAGACATGACCGACACTTTAAATCACAGCCCAAAAGTCAGAGCACGGAGAGGAAGCATCCGGAATCGCCAGTGAAGAAACTGAAAGCCCTTCGCAGGGGGAATGGTGCTAACTGTGTTTTGGTAGTTGAAGGGCCCAGTACTGGAACGCCGAGGAATGCTCTGTGTTGCTAGAAAATTGAAGAAAAAGAGATCCGAAGAACACAAAATTTAGAATGCTTTCGCCATTCAGTTCAGTCGGTATCTGGCCGATGAAAAGCCACTGAGCAGTTGAAAAAGATTGAAAATTGATTGTGCGCGGAAAGACAGATAAAGAAGATCTGGGGAATTACTACCCTCTCTGCCAACTTTACAAGCTCTTTACGAAGAAAATGATCTGCGGCTACAAGAAAGCATTGGGTGCCGTAGAGTTGAATGTAGAGGTATTGATGGTATCCACAGGAAAATTATCAAGGAAGCAAACATAGGCTACTCGACAGATGTAAAACTTTTCCTCGCTTCTTTCTGTATGTCGATCCAGAGGGCATCAGACAAGGCGATCCTATACCTTTCAAGCTTTTTATGGCCTACCTTGAGGTGGTATTTTGTAAACCAAGTTATTAGGCCCTCACGTGGCCCTTGACTGCAGCAACGGAAGACAGGGAAGAATACCAGCACTTTGTTCTTCCAACAAAAACTTCGCTTCAAACAACACGACAAGTAAAACGACAAGCTAGGGCGCCGCACAAGCTGTTAAGCAGAAAGACGCTGGTGGTGATCGAGGTGAAACGCTAGTAGCGTTAGTCGAGGCAGGACGTAGTGGACGAATGGCGCTGTAGATTGCGTTAACTTCCAAAACTGAGGGATGGGACTTAGGAAGAGGTTTATATAGGGAAATTAATGGAAGCAAAGGGAGGACAAGTTAGTTAGTGAGTGAGGTAATATGGAATCATTTAGAATTTGGTGGAATTGTTAGAAATTAGTAAGTGGAGCGAACTAGGTCGAATTGTTAAGAATTAGTATGAGGAGAGAAATATGTGCAATTGTAGGGTTACAAAGTTAGAAAGGTGACAGGGAAATTAATGGCGAGCAGCTAAATTGCACATTTTTTGCAGGTTCGGCATCGAGTGACCGAGGAAGTGATGGTGTTGAAAGTCGGTAAAGAGAGACAGCGGGAAAATCGAGCACAGGTTAAGGCTGACGTGCTCAAAGAAGTTGATGTTCTTAACAAGTTAACGTCGCATCCTAATCTTCTCGCCTTCCGGTAATTCAGTCTTTGATGATTCTTGCAGCCGTCGTTTCATTCCTCCTGTTATAATTCCTATATTTTTATGCGTTTTTTGCAGCTAAGCAATGCAGAAAACGCATATTGACGAGGGTTTATCTGTGTGTGTATGTCTGTTTGTTCATATGTACCGATTTTTCATTCCGAGACCTACAAAAGCTATGGGGCTGAAATTTGGGGGACTTAATCTACATGCATGTACGGGCCTGGGCGCTCTTACCCGCGTGATACCCACGTATAGACCCGCCGGAATTTTATCCGGGTAAGTCGCTAACTCACGAACTAGAAAGGCTAGAAAGCTGAAATTTTAAGGGGATGTTACTCGTCTACGTGAGTCTCCTACAGTCCAA